CCAGGGTTGAAAACCAATTGCCTTGAACTGCTCTTTAGTCTCTTCTCCAAATTCTAACAGAGGTCACTGTCCTTTTGGCCTAGTAATCCCACCAGTGTCACATTGAGTTGGAGGTTTGACAGGACTCAAATGCAGACAATGAAGCTGAAGGGGTTTCTTGAAGGTTTAATAACAAAATCAAAAAACATAAATCTACAAAAGCCACAAAAATTGAGAACCAGGAATACTCAAAACAAGGGGGCAAAGTAATGACGACAAACCAACAAGAGAGACTAAGCAGGAGGTGCATATATGGGCGAGAGAAACGAAGACCAGGCTACTCAGGCGATTGGGAGCAGGTGTGAACAGAGGGGTCTAGGAGGGAGCTTGGGAAAAGGAGGCTCACACAGGAGGGCAACAAAGGCAAACACGAAATACCTAAGAACTCAAATACAATTTAAAAAATAACTGGAATAACACACAATGAAAGTAAAACAAATGAAAACTCAAATATAAAACCGGAAGCAGCCTTGAAGCTGTCATCTTCCTCATCAGACATTGAATCAATGGTAAAACCTTTCCTGGGCCAATGCAGGAGCAGCTTTAAAAAAAAAAAACAGATATCAACACACTTGACATCTGAACAATAAGAAAGTGTTTCACTTGCAAGCAGGCTCTCCCTTGCAGAGATACAGAAGATTAGAAGATCAACATGTCATCCCAGAGAAATCATGAAGGGAGTCCCCAAAAAAATTAAAGTGCAAAAAAAACACAATATATTGATGTAATGTCCGTAAAATCGGTCAAAACTAAGCTCAGTATTCTCTGTGGTCTCCACTGACTATGAGCTCCCTACTAATCCTTGGCATGCTCCTGACAAGGTAGTCTCCTGAGGGATTTCCTCCTGGACCTGGACTAAACCACCAACTTTTGGACACTCTGTGGTGCAACACAACGTTGGTGGATAGACAGAGACATAATGTCCCAGATTTGTTCACTGAGATTCAGGTCTGGGGAACGGGCATGCCATAGCTTCAATACCTTCATCTTCCAAGAATTGCTGACACACTTCAGCCACTTGAGGTGTAGCAATGCCCTGCATTAGGGAAATCCAAGGGTCAACTGCACCAGCATAAAATCCTGGTACAGGGGTGGGAGGATCTCATCTCGGTACCTAATGGCAGTCATGCTACATCTGGCGAGCAGATGGAGGGCTGTGTGGCCATCCAAAGAAATGCAACACCAAAACTACTGACACATTGCTAAATCCGTTATGCTGAAGGATGCTGCAGGCAGCAGACTGCTCTCCATGCTTTCTCCAGACTCTGTCACACCTGTCAAATGTGGTCAGTGCCAGCCTGCTTTCATCTGTGACGAGTAAAGGGAGTCGGTGGCTAATTTACCAATCCTGCTGGTCTCTTGAAAATGCCAAGCGTTCTGCATGGTGTTGGGCTCTGAGGACAACTGATCTGTAGACTTCGGGCCCTCATACCATCCTTGTGGAGTCACTTTCTAACAGTTTGTGCGGACACATGCATATTTCTGGCCTGCTAGATATAACTTTGCAGGGCTTCGCCAGTGATTCCTTTGCCTCCTTGCACAAAGGAAGAGGAAGCAGTCCTGCTGCGAGGTTGTTGCCCTCCTATGACCTCCCCAGGTCTTCTAGCATACAGGACCTGTCTAATGGTAGCACCT